TGGTTTGTCAGTGGTAGTTGGAGCTTGAGTAGTTGTTGGTTTGTCAGTGGTAGTTGGAGCTTGAGTAGTTGTTGGTTTGTCAGTGGTAGTTGGAGCTTGAGTAGTTGTTGGTTTGTTTGTGGTAGTTAGAGCTTGAGTAGTCGTTGGTTTGTTTGTGGTAGTTAGAGCTTGAGTAGTCGTTGGTTTGACTGTGATAGTTGGAGCTTGAGTAGTTGTTGGGTTGTCAGTGGTACTTTGAGCTTGAGTAGTCGTTGGTTTGTTTGTGGTAGTTGGAGCTTGAGTAGTTGTTGGTTTGTCAGTGGTAGTTGGAGCTTGAGTAGTTGTTGGTTTGTCAGTGGTAATTGGAGCTTGAGTAGTTGTTGGTTTGTCAGTGGTAATTGGAGCTTGAGTAGTTGTTGGTTTGTCAGTGGTAATTGGAGCTTGAGTAGTTGTTGGTTTGTTTGTGGTAGTTGGAGCTTGAGTAGTTGTTGGTGTGTTTGTGGTAGTTGGAGCTCGAGTAGTCGTTTGTTTATATGTCGTAGTTGGAGCTTGAGTAGTTGTTGGTTTGTTTGTGGTAGTTGGAGCTTGAGTAGTTGTTGGTTTGTTTGTGGTAGTTGGAGCTTGAGTAGTCATTGGTTTGGAAGTGGTAGTTAGAGCTTGGGTAGTTGTTAATGTATGTGTGGTGGTTGGAGTTTTAATAGTTGTTAATGTGTTAAATTGTGTAGTTGTTAGTTTATCTGTGGTGATTGAAGCTTGAGTAGTTGTTGTTGGAAGGTATGTAATACTTTGATATTGAGCGCATATGAAAGGATATGTCTCCTCACACGGGGCCACTTTGCCACTGTACTCTGTTTCCCCGTCCAGATTTACACATGTTCCTACCTTTTTACTCTTTTTGTTGTCTTTTTTTTTTGCAGCTTTTTCAAATATTCTGTACGGCGAAATGAAGTTGATAGAAGCTTGTTTAGCTCTTCGAAGTGGAAGAAGAGTGGATGTTTGAATATTCGAAGATTCCCAGTAGGATGTTCGACCATCATCAAACATTTTATTATTGTACCCTGATAACAAGACATTAGCAAATGAAGACCTTTTTTTCCTCTTGGGTGTAGATATACTAAACTTCTTCACGCTCTTTGTATAATACCCTACCCATACATTGGAGAGTGATCCGTCATTAATCATAGTTAACCAGTCACTTAGGAACTGGAACGTCTTCTTATTTTCCGGTTGGGCCAAGTAAAACCCTAGGGAGATACAGTAGTCTTCTGCATCTTGGAGGTTCAGGTTTTCACGATAGAGGGAATAACAATTCGTTGCAGAGCATGTCGTCTCTGTGACAGAAATATAAAAAAGGTTTCATTAGTCTATAAACCAAGAAAGTTACATGTAGTCAGATAAAGATTATCTACGTGCTAGAAAATGAGAAAATAACCTATTAACTCAAAACAAGAAACAGTTCAAAACTATTTTACATGTTTAATAAACTCTGATAGTAATCTTTGTCAATTGAGGGTTTACAGTTTATACATAACAGTTTGGTCGACCTCCTCCTTCTTTCAATAGCCTACAAAATTCGGAAACCATAAATTACTGCAATATAACCAGTTGGAGTGGAAGCTGCTGTAGTATAGATCGATATATAACCATTTGGAGTGGAAGCAGCTGTAGTACAGATCGAAATATAACCAGTTGGAGTGGAAGCTGCTCTAGTACAGATCAATATTTAACCAGTTGGAGTGGATGCTGCTGTACTACAGATCGATATATAACCAGTTGGAGTGGATGCTGCTGTACTACAGATCGATATATAACCAGTTGGAGTGGAAGCTGCTGTAGTACAGATCGATATATAACCAGTTCGAGTGGAATCTGCTGTAGTACAGATCAATATTTAACCAGTTCGAGTGGAAGCTGCTGTAGTACAGATCGATATTTCACCAGTTGGAGTGGATGCTGCTGTAGTACAGATCAATATTTAACCAGTTGAAGTGGAAGCTGCTGTAGTACAGATCGATATTTAACCAGTTGGAGTGGATGCTGCTGTAGTACAGATCGATATTTAACCAGTTGGAGTGGATGCTGATGTAGTACAGATCGATATATAACAAGTTAGAGTGGATGATGATGTAGTACAGATCGATATATAACCAGTTGGAGTGGATGATGATGTAGTACAGATCGATATATAACCAGTTGGAGTGGATGCTGATGTAGTACAGATCGATATATAAACAGTTGGAGTGGATGCTGCTGTTTTACAGATCGATGTATAACCAGTTGGAGTGGAATCTGCTGTAGTACAGATCAATATTTAACCAGTTCGAGTGGAAGCTGCTGTAGTACAGATCGATATTTCACCAGTTGGAGTGGAAGGTGCTGTAGTACAGATCAATATTTAACCAGTTAAAGTGGATGCTGATGTAGTACAGATCGATATATAACCAGTTAAAGTGGAAGCTGCTGTAGTACAGATCGATATATAACCAGTTAACAAGTTAGAGTGGATGATGATGTAGTACAGATCGATATATAACCAGTTGGAGTGGATGATGATGTAGTACAGATCGATATATAACCAGTTGGAGTGGATGCTGATGTAGTACAGATCGATATATAAACAGTTGGAGTGGATGCTGCTGTAGTACAGATCGATATATAACTAGTTGGAGTGGATGCTGATGTAGTACAGATCGATATATAAACAGTTGGAGTGGATGCTGCTGTAGTACAGATCGATATATAACTA